TTTTTACCTATTGATAAACATATTTACCTAAGCAATGTTGATCATCTTGCCATCATCAATTAATTATCAGCTGTCCACATAGGGAAGGATAAAATAGCTTGATGATATAAACTAAAAAATTGATACCTTATAGTTAATAATTCCTTCTGGGGTATTATTAAAATCTACTATAATCACATTGTCAGGATTCTTAGTTTGATTAACTGATTATTTTCAAAGAAATCAATTCAGAACTTTTACATTTTAAAATTCTTCTATAGAATTGAGTTAAGCTTAATACTTGTCTAATACTGGCCCATGGGTCAGCTGCTTTTGTATACTTATAAAAATATAATGGGAGGGGCTGGGGATTTAGCTCAGCGGCAAAGCACCTGCTTGGCAAGCGCAAGGTCATGAGTTCGGTTCCCGGTACCAGAGAAAAACAAAAAAAAAAACAAAAAAAAATAAAATAAATAAAAACATAATGGGGACTATAGGTTTAATTCAGTGGAATAGCACTTGTCTAACATGCAGCAGGGCCTGGGTTCAACCTTTAGCACCACACCAAAACACACACACACACACACACACACACACACACACAGAGTACAAGCGAATATTCTTGAAACTATTCGTCACTCCAGAACAAGGAGAACATTGGCAACAATTTAAATCTGCCTCTGCACACCTCTCCTGTCAAATCCTTATGTCTGCCTCTCAGAGATAATCACTATGCTGAATTGGCTCTGTCCCTTTCCTTTCACCCATTTAGGCTTATACCTAAATTATATTTTTTATTAAGATTCATGCTTTTTGCTGCATGTAGGCACATTTCATTCATTTTCACTACTATATGACATGCTATTGTGTGATAATAGCATAACTTATGTTTCCTCTTATCAATAAACATTTGGGCTATGCTGTTTCAAGTTTTTGCTATTATAAGCAATCACTACAGACATTCTTACAAAGATTCCAGGTGCATGTTGCTAAACTTTTCTTATGCGGAAATTAAAGTGCTAGGTCATAGTGAATGTAGACACATAACATTAAAAGAGAATATAAAATTGTTTTCTAAAGTGGTTGAACAAATTTCATACATATGAACAAAATAAAAAGAGTTCCTCTTGCTCTGCCATGTTCTCCAACACTTAAAGTCCATCAATGGAATGGACATGATACAATATCTCAGGTGGTCTTGAGTTGTATTTCTCTGAAAGCAAATGAGACTGACATGTCTTTCATATGTTTATTAGTTTCATCTGATTTTCTGTAAAGTTCTTTTTACATCTTTGTATATCTTTTTTTGTCTAATTTTTTTTAAATTTATCTTTGTATATCTTGTTATCTAGGAATATAGGACATACTTCTCCTTAACTAGGCTTCCATACCCCACAATAAAGTTTTATTAGGATCATCCCCCTCCCCGGTCTTACTGATCTTTAATAAGATTCATGTTTGTTAGCTGGGCATGGAGGCACATACCTGTAATCCCAGCACTTTGAGAGGCTGAGGCAGAAGGATCACAAATTTGAGCCCAGCCTGTACAATTTAGCAAAATCTTGTCAATGAATGAATGGTACGTATGGAGCTTAGCATGATGGCCCTTAGTTCAATTCCCAGTACTCCCCCTCCCCCACAAAAAAATCATGTTTGTTGTTTTTAAAGATGGTGTCTCTTGCTTCTTGTGTAAAGAAATACAATTGATTGCTATGTATTAATGTTATGTTCACCCCTCATGCTGACCTCTCAACATCCTATTACTTCTACTGCAAGTTGTTTTTTTTTTATATTCTTTGCTGTTAAACAAGACATTTGCAAGGAATGGCTTTTGTTCTCTCTTTACCAGTCTTGTACTGTACCTCTGTTTCTTTCTCCTGCTCATGATGCTGAGACCTCCAAGCAATGAGCAGAAGTAGCAATGGTAGGAATCCTTTCCCTTATTCCTGACTTTGAAGGAAAATGCTCAGAAAATGTCCCAAATTTGGGTAGAGTTTCTTTTAAATATTTTTGTACACATTATCAAATAGAAAAAATTCCCTATTACTAAGCTTTATTGTAAATGAGTGCTAGATTTTATTAAATTTTACATATCTATTTAGCTTCTTTAGCTACATACCAAAATTTATTTTCTTTAAATTGTTAAAGTAGTTATTGACATTTCTAGACTTTTTAATATTAAACTGCCCTTACATTTCTGAGATGAACATAACTTATTCATAATAAGTCATCTTTTTACTATACTGTAAGATTCCATTGCTATTATTTTCTTTAGAATTTTTACAGCTATTTTATACTATGAGTGAAATAAACCTGTCTTTTTCCTTTCTTTTACAGTTCCTTGTGTGGTTGAGGTATCAGGGAACCTCCTCAGAGTGAGCAGTGAGCAATCCTTCTATTTTTAATGAAAGACTTTGTTGATTATTAGAAGGTCTATTCTTGAAAGCTGGGGTCTGCTGGGTATTGTTTATGCTTTTTTTTTTGGTAAGAAGATTTTAATTTTAATTTGTGATGAGTAATTTAGCAGGACTACTTAGGGTTTCTATTTTCAAATTAATGTTTTGATGTGTAATGCTTCCCTAGAAATTTGTCTGTTTCATCCAAAATAAAACTTGTTTTTAAATCCTTTTTTTTAATCTCGAAGCATTTTTGCCTTTGCAAAGTAATCAAATGTCATACTTTTTTCTGCAAAGAGATTAATTTATAATCTTACCAGATATTTTCTTTTACTTTCAGCTGTCCAGAAAAATTCATAAAACTCCACTGCCTACATTATATACAATATTTCATCAGAGTACAAATGAGAAAGAGGCATATCTAATACTCTTGAAACAAGCCTACAACCTTTTCAAAACTGTAAGACATCTAAATTTACTTCATCAATAGCCGGTGAAGAATAGTTTGTTTTGGCTACTTGTCTACACTTCTTCAGACACACGTGAGTAACGGTGCCAAGTCACACTCTAATCATACACACATGTTCTGGGGTAGTAATTTTGATTGGTTCTGGGGTAGTAATTACAGCTTTTCATACTTCATTGATAAGACTCAATTACTATATCTAATGTTAAGCTTAAAAAAAATAGCTAGGCAAGTGGTGAATGCTTATCACCCCAGCTACTCAGGAAATAGAGGCAGGAGGATCAAAGTTTGAGGTCAGCCTGGGCAACCTAGTAAAGACCCTGCCTCAGCATAAAACATAAACAGGGCTGCGGATATAACTTGGCGGAAGAGCATCTGCCCAGTGTGCACCAGGGTGACTCTAGGTTCAATCCCAGCATTACAAGAATAAACACAAAAAATAAAATAAACCTGATTATGACATTTAACATTTACAAAGTCATAATACTTTTTTACACAGAAAGCTAAATTTATATAGAGATTAAGACTCTCATGATAGAACTGTATCCCCCATTTTGAATCTAGAATACTAGGAAGTTATTTTCTTTGGCAATTCCACTCTGCACATAGAAGAATGTTTTTCTGGGGGACAGAGCCTTCCATATCTAACTCCATGCTGCCATGTCTGGACCCTGAAGGATAGGAAGGGGTCTGGACGCTGAGTCTCCTTCTGACAGGCAGGAGGAGTTCAAGGGGCAGCTGACTTCTAGGCCAGGGCTTCTGAGGCTTTAACGTGCATTCAAATTATCTGTGTACCTTGTTTAAACTCAGTTTGTAGTTGCATAGGTCTGGAGTGGAGTCCAAGAATCTTCATTTCTGAGAAACTTCAGGTGATGTTACTGCTGCTGGTGTCTCCCAGATGGCCTGAGATGAGGGCATTTTTGAGCCAAATGGCTTCTGAGCTCTCAAGCTCCATCTCTTTGCAAAGTTAGTGCACACAACTGTCACACATGAAATGAAGATTCTATGGAGAGATGCTGCTAGTGTGTGTGAACTTCTAGTCTGTCATCAAAACATTTCAGTTGGATCATCATCTGATTGCTCTATTCGGCTACTATCAGGAACACACTTGATCATCGCAAGAGCTCCATCTAAATGCCCACTAACTGGCCATTTTCACACAGGTTCAAGAGGGAGTGAGGCTAGATTCTATCATTACATTATATATGAATGAATCATTTCTTTATAAAATATGTCTTCAAGGAAATGCACCTCCTGCAATCTCAGCCTTGGTACAAACAAGCTCCTACCACATCCCAGGAATGAGGCACCAGGGGCAATCAACACATTCTCCATACTGCACCCCCGCAACCCGCCCAATCCTCAGGTGAATAGAAAGATACTTACTGAGGAAGAGAAGGTCCTCCTCCTGTATTGCCCAGAGAACATCAGTCTCTGGTGTAAAGAAGAGAGGCAAGCTCATTAAACTCATGGGTCTCCAATTAATCCCTTATGCCCTTGTGGTTGGAGCTGACTTTAAAGCAGATGCTTTATGTGGATTGGGGCCTGCTTCATGTAAGGTATACATTCTCGAAGTTGGCTGTAAGTCAAAAATGTTTTTGCCCTCTTTTTAAGTAAAAGAATGTTTTAAATATACTATAGAGGCTGAGGGTATACAGCAGTGGTAGAGCACTTATCTATCATTTTCAAAGGCCTGGTTCAATCACCAGCACCACAAAAAACAAACAAGAAAGGTTAGCTTTTTTAAATGAAACAGTACAAACATTATTCTGTACAACAACTACTAACTGCTTTGCTAAATAGCTGGATTTTTAAATGCTGAATTTCTGTAGAATAGGGAACAAGGTAAAGTAAATTTGAACAATTAAACTAAAACAACTTCTGTATTTCCAAATTAAGAATAATCCCACATTTATTAGAAAAAGGATTATCTTACTTAGCTTTTCAGAAGCAAGATGCTTTTGGCAAGCTTTGAATTATAGTTTTATTCCTTGGTACAGTAAAAAATATCCTTCCTCATTTTGTGAATATCAATTCTTAGTCATTTCAATGAGAGACTTCTAATACAATGTCTATCTGTGACTATGTCCTGTAGTATGGTACACATTCTTTGTTGGAACTAGTAACCAAATTTTCCCCTTTATTCATTCAAAGGATACTGTCCAAAATTAGTTCAGTGAGAGCACGGTATGCTGACAAATCGTGCATTTCAGAAATCTGGTTGCAGGAAAAATCCACCTTCTGGTGAGAAAAAGAGAACAATATGTTACATATTATTCTTCACTCATACCACAATAATTAAATGAACAAGAAGGTATTTCTGGTTTTAGAATTAGAGCTCACTACTGAAAGAACACTAAGGCTAACACGTGCATGTATCGCTGGCCATTTCTAACCAGCATCCTCATCTGTCCACCCTAAAGGATACAAAGGAAGTGAGCTCTTCCTACGGGAGATCCTGTGACCTAAATTCTTCCCCTTCCTGCAGCCTCTCTCTACGTTTCAGTGTTTATTTTCAACTCTCTTGGTCTTCCTGCACCATGTATCTCCGTTCCATCCTCACCACGTTTTTCAAGTTCTGTAACATCCAGGAAAATGTATGCAGTCTGTTTACATGCAGAGCTTGTTGCCCTCATCTCAGCCTTTGCTGTCCTCTCAACACCTTCTCCCATGTCACCTAACTGCCGGAACAGTCCATTTTACTCCTCCCTCAGGCTACACCTGTGCAACTTAACATTCTTTCTCAAAATTGACTATCTGAGGGAGGCATTTTCAGCAACAGCTGTTGTTCATAGTCAAAAACATTAGAGTAGCGGCTGGGGCTTTAGCAAGGTGGCAGGGCATGTGAGGCGTTGGGTTCAATTCCCAGCACCACCACTGAGAGCAAGAGTGAGAAACAGAGACAGAGAGAGACAGAGAGAGACAGAGAAAGAGAGGGACAGACTAAAAAACATTAAACAACTTCACTTAATTATTTACCTACTGGTAAGAAAAAAAAATTTTTTTTTTTTTGAAGAAAATTTGAAGCACTGCTCTGATAACTTCCTGGGCACAAGGAAATCATTTTCGGAAAACTATCAAGCAATGTGTATTATACACACTACTCTTACCTTTTCATGACCTCTAAAACTGTGATTCCACCCCAAAACTTTACTAAGATTATTTTAGCAATGCATTAAATGCTAAATACTTTAACTACTAAAAAGAATAAATACTAAAAAAATTTATAGAGACAACGCAAGTAGCAAGAGTAGAAAAATGCTTAATTACAATATAAACAGAATTACATAGTAAAACACAAGTTTGCAAACCGATTGAAGTAGAAATGTGCAAACAGCGCTAAGTCAAAAACTCCGAACATAAATGTATACAATACAAAGGGCAGGTAGGTAACATGCACACTATGAAATAAGTCAGCTTGGCATGAGGTAAATGGAGTTTAGCATTCAGTTTTTTCTTATAAAATAACGGTGGATTAGAAATAAACTTATTATATGGGCTTACTTGTAACTGACACTTTTCCACCAACACTTAACTATGCCTCTGTGAGCGGTCTATGCCAATACTACACTTTCTAAGTACCTATGATGCTAGGTTTGCCGAAAAATTTTAAAGGTGTTGTGATATTGCTCTGAGTCCCATTGAAACCCAGATCTTACAGAAAGTACACCCATCAAATCAAACAAACACTTTTCACGTACTAAGACCAAAAGCATTGTAAGACATCTAAGAGTACAAGTACAAGCCCCTGTTTCTTAGATGCATGCTATCTCTGGATGGTGGCAAAAGGTTTACACACATTAAAAGAAAAGTAGATCTTCTCAAGACGGTGGTGGGACATAGGTCTGCCCAACCTGACTTACTGGAAAGATACAGGCTTGGGCTCTCAGACATGGATTTCAATCTCAGTTCTCCTACTTCCAGCAAAGGTTAAGTAAGACACTTAACTTTTCTGGATTTTCAATGTCCTCATCCATAAAATGGGCCAGTACCAGCTGGCTCACAGATGAACTGGATTAAATAAGAAAATGTGTTGAAAACACCAGAAAGCCTCAATCATTCCTTCTCAGGTCCCTCTGGAGTTTGCACAAAGTCGAAACACCTCCCACCTGGGCCATCTGCACTTGGCAAATGCTTCTCTAAAGTTACCAATGTATTTGCTCTTAATTCTGCAACAAATTGGAACCTTGAAGATGTAGCATATGATTTGTTTTTTGTTGGCTGTGGGGTCTTTTGGGGAGGAGATAAGGCAGCGGTGATTGGAAGAAACTGCAAGGAAGGTATCCCATGGGGAGGAACCATGCTGTTACCATGGCTCATCTCCCTGGGGCGCAGAGCCTGGTGAATAGGACAGCAGGGGGAAACTGAACCTGCGCTGCAAATACAATTCTTGACAACTTCAAAACTACACAGTTCCACACTGAGTACAGAAAGGCCCCAAATGTGGTTTATTTGGACAAAGCCATGTCACTGTCACTCTGGGAGTAACTCTAATTTCAAAAGAAAAAACACTGTACTAATAAAAATGGAATGATGTGAAACAAGAGGAGAAAAAGGTGTTATTACCCTCAGAAGGGAAATCTCAAATTCTTCATTTCCAGTAGATGTTCATATTTGTACAGACCTCAGAGGAATACTTTGGATCTAAGTTAACTGGGCTTGTGAATGAAATAGATAATAAAAGGTAATAATTGATGTCCATTTCTTAGGATACATTTTATTAAGGTGGATGTGGTGGCGCATGTTTAAAAGCCCAGCACTCTGGAGGCTGAGGTAGAAAGGTCGCTGTGAGTTTGAGGCTAGCCTAGGATACACAGTGATTTAAGGCCAGTCTGAACTACACAGGACACCTTCTTTCAAAAAACCAAAAAGAACACATTCTTTAAAATATTTGAATCCAATAGAACAACACTAATCACAACCTCTACAATAATGATCCTCAAATTAGAATGATTCTCATACAATCATTACAATGATTCTCATATTAGAATCATCTGGGGTTCATCTAATGAGTCCCAAGCACAGTCCTTATTTTGAACTACATAAATCAGAACCTCTAGCATGAAATCCAGACCTCAGTAGGTCTTACAATCAAATTGGGGAACGTGCATGTGGGGGACCACCTGGGTGACGCTCCTTGAAGGAAGAGCAATTGTCTCCATTTTGACTGAGTCTGACCCTATTTCCATGTATTGATATGTACAGAGCTACAGACTTTTTATACAGACTTTCTTTATCCCTTCAGTTGGTTTAAGCAATGCATACTGGTCCAGCCAAGATGCTGATGGTAGTCTTTGAAGGCAGCAGGTGTGTTTCCCCAGACACCCCACACACACTTGCATATGCTGGATGAGGCAGGATGTATAAGCCAATGCTCCACACTGTTAGCTGGGATGGAGCCTCAAGTTAGAGGCTATGGACTTCCTGGGACTTGAAAGATTACACATCAGAGCTGAAGCACCACCCCAAAACATCGGATGCTATCTCAGTTGTGTTGTGCAGGTTACTCTTTCTGCATATCCTTCTCTCTGCATTGCAGAGGTAATTTTAGGCCTCCTACCTAGCCCAGCTCACAGCACTCAGCTATTTCCCAAGATTCTCACAAGCACTTAGCCTTAAGCCACGCACCTCTTCACCAATTAATAAAACCTAGGTTAGGCTCTGGACCAAGGCCTTTGTTCCAGATAGCCAGCATCATGGCTGGACTTAGGACCCCTTGGTTCCCCATAACTACAAATATGCCTTAGTGTCTTTATTCTCGCCATGCATTGCATTGGAAGTGGTAAACTGGAATTCACTCACTAGAATTCCAATAACTTTTCCAAGTTTACAAATATAAACTTCCTGGGCCACGATGAGAACCAGGAAGGGCTCTCTGTATCTGCACTCTATGATCTCTCTACTTAAGTGTGGGCCAGCAGCCACATCAGCAGCAGGAAGGCTGTAAGAAATCAGTCTCTGGCCCATCCCCCAACCACCAGGCTGGCCACTAGTTTTCACAAGAACCAAGGAGGACCCAGATGCACCTGGAAGCAGGAGACACAGCGTTCTATGGGCTGCAAACTGCCCTCCCCACGCCATGAATCTGAAGTTCATTTCTGCTTCAGAAGTAATGAAGCAAATGCAGTGAGGCAAGCTGGAAATCTGATAGCATTATTTTATTTTTAAAAAAGCAAAGTGAGATACTTAAAAAAGCAAAGTTTGAACCTCTCGGAAATTTTTACTAATTTTTTTCAGATAAAATTGCTCTAGCAAAATACAAGCAATAATGACTTCTATGTAAATAAGGGCAAGAGGAGAACAGAAGTAACTGCAACACTGGGTTTCTAGCAACGCTTCCTATAAAGGCTGTGCTGACAGACCAGCTCCCTGTTCCTTCTGTTTCGATTGAGATACATGATATTCTCCGTCAATTTTCTACTTTAGTGCTATGTTGCTTAGTTAATGTACTTTGGAAACCACTTAACATATATAATTAGTGTACTAATAGCATCTACCTTGAGATTTTTGGGTGGCTTGAAATTGAAGAATGTAGTCAGTTTATTTTGTGAAGCATCAAGTTCTAGAAGATAAGGCATGCAACTCACACAAGACAAATCTGGGGGGAAAACAGACACAGAACAGCTAAGCCAATAAAATAACTTGAAAAAGTCATTAAAAACAGCATATGTTACATCAGAATATTTTTAAGTTCTGCAGTTGCAAGTACATCTGAAGTCTTCTAGATGAGTGAAATAAAAGAAATCAGAAATGTGTAAAATATTTTTGTTAAGTGTAGAAACCCCACGGGTTCTGACCTGGGTCCTGCCCGCCTCTTCCGCCCCCCCAAGTGCTGGTACATCCAAGTAAAGGATGAGGTCCCTCGCATGTCCCTGCTCACCCTCCCACAAGCTGCTAACACCTAAATGCTTCCAAAATTACCAGCCTTCAAGGAAAAGATGAGAAACTAAAGCCTTAGATAATCCTCTTGATAATTAGCCTCTAAATAACTGAATTAGGTCTTTTCAGAAGATTGGAAATGCCACAATTAGGGAACTCTCTTTGTTGTAAATTCAATTTTGTCTTAGTTGGAATTAATCCTAAATCTCATTAATTATTTGACATGATTTAAATCATTGCTATTATTTTAATTTGACTCTGGATTGGTTCAAACTTACATCTGAATTTTGCATTTTATCCCTAGCAAATATCCTGAAATTTAAATACTAAGTAAAAGGACTATGTGCTAATAGATTCTGAATGGAATTGCATATAAAACATAAAAGCTGTGAGGCACTGTTTTGCTTTTCTCTGCCACTTTACAGCAGAGGCACTATGGGAGGGGACAGGTCAGGAATAATCAGATAATAAGGGTTACAGCCTTGTCACTCCCAACAATTCACTTCACTACCTGCAAACAGTAACAATAACAGGATCTTCCCAGTTCTCTGGCTCTGAAGCATAGACGAAGCTATTAGAATTGCTCAGAGGATGGCTCCTAGTAGAAAGCAACCTCCACATCCAAACCCAAGCAACACGCTTCTACCTTTCCCCAAGTGGCACAGATACACGCAGACCAGAAGAGGTTAGGGTGCCAGGTCAGCGGGAAGCCTCCCCTGGAACACAGGGGGCAGGCAGTGTGAGAAAGCCGCCGGCCTCTTTCCTTCTAAGCAGACATGAATGCCACAACATCTCCAGCAATTCTTACTTCACTCCTCTGAGATAAACTACACCTATATGTAAATGGCTCTAGATGAGACAATACATTGGGACATTACCATTTTGGTACAAATGAATGAGTCAGTCAAGGAGCTGCCTGTGAGAGAAAACCTAAGGAGAAAGTAAATGCTTTGTGATTTGTGTCCGTCTGTCCATTGTGTCGGGAGTGGCCTCAGCTCCATTAACTTCTACCAAGTGTTCCAAACCCCTGTTGGAGCTGACCCTTTTGTCATACCGTGGACATCTGTCTAAAAGCAGAAGCAGCAGCTACATAGTACATAGAAACAAAATGATGGTGAATACATTTCACACTTTGTAGAGAGGCAATGTTTTTAAAAATCGCCGCGACAAATAATCTCTGGTCTGAGTGGCCAGATGCCTAGCTCTAGCAGCTATGAAGTCCCTACTCGGTGCAGTGACCTCCTTGTCCACCAGATGGCAGGAGCACCTCATGTCTCCATCAGGGTTCTCAAAGTGAGGTCCTAGACCACCTTCCTCAGCCTCAACTAAGAACTTAAATCAAATGCAAATTTTCAGGCCCAGCCCAAGTCTGCTGAAGCAGGTACTCTGACGGTGGAGTGCGGATATCTGTTTTAACACCTCCTCCCAAGATGATTCTGCTGCAAGCCGAAATTTGGTCTGCATCATCAGAACGTCATGAAGGCTACCATCACAAAAAAAAAATATACTGTACCCAACACAAAGTAGGCTCTCAAAGACTTGATAAATGAATAAGTTGGGCCACCCAGGATTCATGGAGACTCATCTGGGTGAGAAGGAAAGCTTCACTCACAACTGTGGACTCCCTGCTCCTGTGGCAGGGACGTGAAGACAAGTCATTTTCCCTGTTAGGACCAAGCATGGTCGAAGCCTCCTAGCACTCTGCAACCTCTTATCCAGTAAGCCAACCTCGGAAGTGTGGGGTAGGTGAAGCATTCCTGCCAGTAACACAAGAAAAGTCTTTCTGATGGTCTGATCTGATGATATGATATTCCAGGATTTGTTTTAAAATTGCCTTAAGGTAAAGGGCAGGGAGATGTGGATAAAACAAGACCAGCCATTGGCTGATAGCTGTTGAATTTCAGTACACATGCCAATATTCTCTATGCAACTGTTTGTAATTTTTAAAACTAGTTTTACAAAACTACAGAAAAGTTCAAAGTCTTCTTTGTATAGCCTAGAATATTTCTTAGCGATTGAAAAGAGTGAATTTTAACTATTCAGAGTCATATGGGAGGGGAATGGAAAACAGAAGATCATATCAGCAACATCTGATTTAATCAGTAGAGAAAGTAGGGCAGAAATAATGGCTCGCTTTCTTTCCTAGAAGTCTAAAGAAAAAAAAAAAAAAAAAAAAAACTGTGTGCTGTTAAAAACAAGACCAGAATACAGGAACAGGAATCAAGCTTTGAAGAAAAGGTGACAGTTACAGGACTAATTTCCTTAAATGGGAACAAGGTGTCATAACAAATATATAGAACTACAGATGGTAGAGCTGGGTTGAAAGAATCAACTAAACACATAGAGATAGCAAAAAGACAGAAAAATAAATTTGTGAGCCCCTGGTGCTCAAATAAGAATAGAAATAGCTAGACAGGGTTGCAATGTAAATACAAAAGCAAAATAAAGGAACTCACTAAAGAAAAAAAGACATTCATCTGCATTAAATAACTAATAGAAAGAAAGAAAAAGAAATCATCATTCAGGAAGTATTTTGGAGATAATGATCGATCTCTTAAAAGGAAACCTAAGGCAAACATTCCATCTCCTATCTTTAATTATCCTGGAGCACGTATGGGCCGTATCATCATAGTGCAGACCTGGGCCTTTCCCTCACTCATCCAGTCACCAGTGCTTTTTGAGGGAGAGGGAGCATGGAAAGCAAAAGAGCAATAGGTAAGCTGGCCTACAAACCACTCCTAACAAGTGTGGTCTTATTAAACTACATTACGTACTGCAACATTTAAATTTTGAAATCAGTGCACAATCTGCTATGATGACAATTACATACCTTCAATTTTATTCGCTGAAAGATCCAACTTCTGCAGGTGAACATATCCACACAAAATGCTAATGTCCATTAAATCACAACCCTGAGAAAATAAAAGACTTTAATATTGCTTTAGCAGATTAATAGCCAGTCTTGCAGTATATGGAAATAATTGCTAATGGAAAGAAATCCAGAATTTCTTTCGAAAGTACAGAGGTGAGAGAACACAATGTGAAGCCTATTACTAATAGTATCTCAAAACAGACTATAGAACCCATCAAAAAAAAAGACATTCCTCTGAAGGAAATAATAGCTTAGAAAATGAGTGTTGTTAGCAAGAATGAATACAACATGAAAAGGCAAATTAAAGCAGTGCCCACGAAGACCTTTAGAGCACAGTTTTATATTTTTAAAAAAACACACAAAACAGCAATAAAGACAAAGCTTTTATCTAGGAGAAGAAAAAGCAAATGCCTAGAATTTAAATGACGTTTTAAGGAGAGTTCGCACCTAATCAGGAGATCGTTAATACTACTGCTTGCACTTACACAAGAGCTCATTTTCAAAGCTCTTACACAATAATCTCAGGTGATCCAACACACCTGTGAGATGTATAGGGCAGATTATTCTCAGGACAAAAATGAGGAATACGAGGGACAGAGAAGTACGTAAGTTGCTCCAAGTCAGAACAATCAGAGAGAAACAATATCCAAGTTTCCTCAGCCTTTTTAAAAATTCATTCCTGGAAGTTTTGCTTCTAGGAAACATCAAATGGGTATTAAAAAGGAATTTGATCTTATGGAACAAAGACTTACACGACTCTATATGTCCTGTTGTCAGAATCAGAAAAAAGCCACCGAAGAAAAATCATCATACGCAAGCTCTCCTACAGGATAATGACTGTTTAATGTAGACTGCTGAAAGAGTAACAATACTGAATGTGTGCTATGTAATAGACATCGAGTTTGACATGTTTCAGAATAAAATGATAAAATAAGATATATTATGCCCTTTAAAAAGTACGACTTAGAAGAAAAAAGATATGTATGTACACGAGTAATAAAAGGAGGTAAAAAATAAGTAAGATAAAAGGGAGGGAAGTCACTGAACCAGAAAGTATACTCGGTAAGACAGGTTAATAAGGCCAAGTAATTCAGCATGTAATATCTCAAATGTAAGGAGGTCAGTGGCAAAAGAAGTTAAGCTTCAGTCCCTCCAGCTGGAATAAGATTCAAAGGATTGCTCTTTTGGCAGATCCACTTAAAGCATGGCACTACATACATAAGTAGAATATTGATTGAAGGGACTTGTGTGGGGCTGAATAGGCTGCTGGAACTATACCGTTCCAATGATATCTAACACAGTGCATATGCCTGGCTGAGTCGTCCATAAACAATGTTATAGCATGATAAGAATAAAAGATTACAAACTTAATGTGCTAATCTCAAAGGACATATCCTGACACAGGTGAAAACAGCGTAACATTCCTTGAATAGCTTACCGATTCAAACTCACCACAGTCTTCCAATTAATTAGCCAATCATGATGTCAAACATGGTGCTACAATGAAGTTTATGCATTTTTTTCTTTGGTTTCTTGAGACAGAGTCTCACCATGTATTCCAGGCTGACCCTGAAATCACTATGTAGCTCAAGCTGGCCTCAAACTCGAGGCAATCCTCCTGCTTCAGCCTCTCAAGTGATGCGATTACAGGCATGTGCTAGCACACCTACCAGTGTGCTTTTTTGTTAACACGTGTGTCTATGTTTGTGAATCTCCAAGTATTTAACACTTTATAATAAAGGAACAAAGAGAGTTAAACTGCTTTGCTAGGACTGTAAAGACACAAAAAAAGAAGCTGAATTCTGAAGAGTCTGTCTTTTTAGGGTACTTGGAGCCAAGATTTTGTGCCACTCTGTGACTAGGAATGAAACCTTGAAAACTGATGAACAGCAATAGATTTTTTTTCTCCAATGATAGGTATCTTTTAGAAAGAAAATACAGCTCAAAACTACTTATTTCTTGACATACTTAAGGGAAAAGTCAATACCAAAATACTTGGTTCCTTGGATCAGATATAAATTTCAGTGCTTCTTTCACTGATCAGAGAGAAAATTCTTAAAGCTTTTGATTGGTTGTGCAGAATCAAATTCAACCTCCTGGGAAAAAGGCATTGATTACTATAATATAGACTATTTAAGATGAAAGAACTAGAGTGTGATGAGAATGGAAACAAAGGAAGTGGGGGGGAGGGGCTGGTTACTGGATTGCTGCTATCACAAAAGCTGTGAGCACCAGAGAACACGGACATGGTCTGGGCAGTGTAAGATGCAGTCAGCCTAAGATGACCCTGCTATACTCACTGATAGAGTTAGGTTGAGGTAGACCTGTTCAGTCCCAGAGCCTGAGCGCCCCAATTCATACAGTGCCTTGCCCACTGCCTCTTCGGTCAGGACCCCATCAAATTCCTCCTATAAAAGGAAAAGAATAGAGAGATAGACAAAGACAGGATTACCACTAGGAAAGAAACAATCTTCTCTGTCCTGTCCAGCACTTATCCACAATTTACCATTGCCAAAGAAAATCCTCTGTTGAAGACACATGCGTACAGTATATGATCAAGTAAATAGCTATACAATTCATTATTGTCCCTGATTTTTCAGGTGGCCACTTGTACTAGTTAATGAAAGCTGAGTGAACACGGTAGCTGTACAGGCATTAGTATCAGTGGTGATTTTTACCATTGATCAACTCTCCATTCCAAGCACTGTGTGAGAATTCTTAAGGAGTGACTCATTTACCCTTTTGTCAATCTTCAGGTAAGTATTCTTATTTCCATTTGAAAGATGAAGAAACTAAGGTTTAGAGGTTACCTTGCCTGAAACTACACAGACAGAATGTGATAGAGATCAAATAAAAACCCAAATATATCTGACCCCTGGGCAATTCTACCTTTAACGCTTTCCACACCTCAAAGGATGGTTACATCAGCTGAAGGCAACTAACTCTCTATATCTGGTATTATTGATGAGGAGAACAGGTCCTCAGTTGACTTCTTTTTGGCTAACTTTTCTGGATACGTGTAATTTTCAAGGCTTATTAAAAGCGTACTAATCTTTCCATAAGGAGCTTGGCCCTTAGTCTACATAGACATCCTATCAACCAATGGTTAACCAACATGCCCTTTCCTAATAATGACAGAAGAAATATCATGTGGATAAGTATTACGTTTGTGCTGCCTCCAACCCTGTAATGACCAACACATTAACACTGACATCAACATGGGAATAGAAAATACCATAAACACTTCAGGAACACCTATACACTTAATCACGATGAGCATATGAACTACAATGCCAAAATACTGTATATTTTTTCTGGGTCTTCTATATTGATTCAGGAAGAACCAACAACACTGCCCTGGCTGTTGGTACTAAGGACATAAGTACTGTAGGCTTGTACTACTTAAAGAGCCCACCCCCATATTTCCACAGATCACGAAATGTTGTCTACATGGAGATAGCAGATGGGCCTTGGAATTGAATAGACATGGTTTGAACCTCATTTCTGCCATTTTGGATATATGACTTTGGAGAGCTAAGGTTTTCTCTAAACTTTTGCAAGTCTTCAACTATAAATAGGAAATGTTATTTTCTCTGAAGGAGTTCTGAACATACCACCCCAAAGAATGATGCTTTGGTGTATTGATTGTTTTGAGCTAAAGGCACTTGAAAAATCTCAAATGAAAGAAAAAGCTCTCTCTGAACTCCTTTTATCTACCGAAAGACAGATCCTCCAAAAGGAACTCAGTTGTCATAAATCCCCTCCCTGGCAGTTTCATCAACCAGAGAAGATTGATCCTTATCACAGGAGAGGAGAAGAGAGCTGGGCACCACACTCAGACAAACTCTGTTGCAAACTATTATATCTCCCTTCTATTCTTCTAAGAGTCCATGCATCTTTCCTAGAAACATTTACTCTGCCTTGAATGGCCTCTTAACATGTTATATAAGCTCTCAAATTTCACTGCTCTTTGGAGAGTATTCACTTTTTTCTATGATGCTCCTATGCATGTAATATTAATAATTAGTAACTTTGTATACCTACTGCCATGTTAATCTGCCTGTTGCTGGTTTAGTTCATGGACCCCACTATCACAGCTAACAGGATAAAGGGAAAGTCTTTTCTTCTCCATATCTCCTTTTAATGTTTTGCGAAGAATATAAAAAAGTACATAAAGCTCTTAGCACAGTGCCTACAACATAGCGAGTTTTTCCAATAAATGACGGTTACCATGTTCTGATGACAGAAATTCCACATCTTAATGTGTCACTCAATTATACCAATTAACCTGTTCACAAGATAGGAAAGGTATTTATTTTTCTAAATAAAGTTCTACTGTCTTTTGTTCCACCTGGACCCCCATTTCCTGGAAAGGAGAAGTCCTTCTGTAGTAAGTGGATGCCTGACAGGGAGATGAGCTGCACTATTAGTATTCTCCCAAATTCCCAAGGCAAGACTCCACATAGCAACCCCCTCACACCCCCTTTGGACGTGCCGTGCCTTCTTCAAATAGGCAGAGTGAATGGGCACTTTTTAGTCCTCTTTCCATTTAATCTCCCGGCAACGCAAGCCATTCCCATGTTTCTGACTCTTTTTTGTCCTGGCTTTCCATACAGCTCTTCTCTCTTTTCCTATTCCTCTGGCCAGTCCTTTCCAATGTCCTTCCTTGATTCTTCATCTGCCTGCCACTGAAAAACCTGTACCTCTGGGGTTGTGTTCTTGTTCTTTCTTTCCCTTCCCTTGTATTCCTGGATGATACCAACATGCTCTGATGCTAAGATCCTAAGTCTCCTACTCTGAGACCCGTCCACTTAATTTCAGTCGTATGCTACCTGTATCCAACTCCTTTAGGCACAGCTCCATCTTTCTTGATTCCTATTGCACGTAATGACCACACTACCCTCTCCCTCCCTCCAGTTCATGTCATAGGCCTAACAGTCAGCCCAGACCTCTAATATTCAATTAGTGAGAGTCTTATTTTAAATGTTTCATCTTTAGCCTCCCTTCCATTCCCACTGTGGCTGTCTTAATCCAGACTCTTCTCGCTCTCCCCAAGATACTGCTAGAATCTTCTCACATACTCAGTTGTCCTCTCATCTCACCCCATTTGGCCATCAAAGCAGTTCCCTACTGCTTTGAGACTCAAGTCTGTATCGGTACAAAAGCACAGGGCTCTACCCCAACTGCTTCTTTCTGCTCTCATGTATAATTCTTCAGGATTCTGCCATCTGCTTGTCCACAGCTCACCTCTCCACTCTACCAAGTCCACTTCCCATAATCCCTGCAGTCGAGCTGCCATCTGTGTGATCTCTGGATACAATACTACAAAGGCTGAATTGCTATGATTTACTCACATTATCTCCTATGAGAGCAAGACCATGTATGTTCTCAGTCATGTTCTTATCTTCTTCTATCATTAGTATTATTTATTACCCCTGTAGTTTTTGAGAGTCTATCTGTAAGAGACACTATATTAAGAACTTTAATATAGAGGATCTCATTAAATTTGATACCCATAACTATCCCATGAGTAGGCATTTTTTTTTTTTTTTTTTTTGGTTTTGGTTTTTCTCTGGTACTGGGAACCGAACTCACGACCTTGCGCTTGCTAGGCAGATGCTTTGCCGCTGAGCTAAATCCCCAGCCCCTTTACTTTTTTTTTTTTTTTCTTTGGTTTTTTGAGTAGGCATTATTATCCATACTTGATTACTGGCAAAGACTGGTTTCTATGAATCAAATTTTGGGCCCAGACACTTTGGCTTTATATAGTCGAAGAGTGATTCCTATATAGCAATCATTCTATAAATGTTTAATAAATGCTAACTTAATGAAAATTACTCAATAGGATATAATTAATAGATAAAAACATATAAGTTAATATTTGTTTTAGTATCAATAACATTATGCTAAGATTTCCACATATTAGCGTAATTCTCACAATGTTCCTATGAGATAGGCATTATTATAATCGCCACATTATGGATAAAACATAGGCAAGTTAAGTAACTTGTTCAAGATCTCCCAACTAAAAAAAGCTACACCAAGTCTCAAAAACAAACCTTCATTTCCATAGGCAGTGCTCCAAACTATACTGCCTCCCTTCATTTCATAAGGGCTTCTGAAGTTTGAGATTAATTGCACTGTGGACATTCAATAATCATTATGACCATCCCAGCCTTATAACCTTTAACCAGGCTAACACATGAAAAATAAATCATTAAACATAAATGTCCAAGTGTTTCTTTTCAAAACACTTCAGTTTATCTAGCACATTAAAACTTACTATGTTTTTCACATACTATGAAAACCCCAAAAGAATGTGAAAATACAAAACAAATTTTAATGTTTATACATAAGTGAAAGAAATAATGAACTTCTTCCAAAGACATCCTGCAATCTAAAAAAGGAATAACTACTTCAACTCTGCCTACGGGTTGTTAATGGCATACTGAAGACAGATTAACAATGGTACTAATGAACCCCATAGCTGAAGACCATGTGTTAATTAGAATAATAAAGTATACCAGTGGTTCATTTATGAATTCCTCTGGGGTGGAAGCTGGTGGAAACCATACAAACATTTCAAAGTTACAAAAACACTGTTATAGTTTTGCAATAATGGCTATTAAAGGCAGAAAACTAACAAAATAAGTAATCACCTTCTATGGTCAGTTTTAAGCAAAATTAAAGTGTAAGTAGCTCAGATAGGAGGAAAATGAAAACAAAATGAAGGGTGAAGGATGTGGGGACAAACATTCAAAGAGAGCCAAAGGACATCACAAGAGGATTTGAAGTAAGAAGAGTGTAGATGGTTAATAGTAGGATCAGAACAACGGCAAATATTGCAGGTAAGAGGAGAAAGACTAAGAAGACAAACCAGGAAAGAAGTTTGTGAAAGTAAACAGACATAAAAAGAAACATGTCTGGCTTAAAGGAAGAAAGGTGATAAAGAAAAAACACAAAGATGCTCAAAGGGAAAGTCAGAAGAATACACAGATTGGGGATACTGGAAACCTTCTATTTCCCCCTTATTATGTCTACTTCTGAAAAGAATGTGAAACAATTTATACTATGAATGAGGTAGCCAAAACAAGGAGGAAAACCTAACCGAGTACTGGAAGGAAACAAATCAATTTGTTTTTGAAAGGAAGCAGTTTACTAGAAACCAAGAGAAGAAAGTGATGTGATGAGAAGTGGAAACGAGAAGACAGGGTAAGAAAGAAGCACAGTAAGTCTAAAAAGAAGTGGAATTGGGTGGTGGCTACAGGAAGTATTGTAGAAAACAGAGAATGAGTATTAATATGAAAGGCCATGGCACCACCCCAAGTAATATAAGTGGGAATACTGGGAACACTTCCCAAATTCTAAAATATCTCCTATAGAGAACTCGCTGAAAATTCTATGGCTCCTTTTTGGGTGGGTGTATGTGTTGTTTACCTAAGCACATACCCTTGACAGAAGTAATATGTATAAAACTTATAACTCACATATTCTTTGAAGGAGCGCTTAGATTTGTTCAAATGTCCTCAGCTTTGGTAGTGTGTTGTAGTACTTCACAGTCCTAGGGAATGGGCCCTGGGGAAGCCAAAGACGAACTCTTTCTATTCACAAAAAGGTAATAATTTTGTCAGGTGTAATTTTGAAAACGTTAGAGCTATAACTTCTATACTTTTTCATACGGATGCTGTGTAACTACTCAAAAGTAACCAAATGTGTTCATGAAAAGGGAAGATATTTGGAGATATTTAAGGCAAGGAACAAAAAAACGGGTAGGAGAAATGAATTAAGAAAGAAGGGGAAGTAAAAGAAAGTGGGCTTGAAGCTGTGAGGAAGAGGCGCCCGAGCCCGAGTGAGCTCAGCTGGAGCAGGTGTGGGCGCGGCACGGAGCCGCCAGGAAGCGGCAAGGCCTGCCGGCTGGAGAACGCCAAAAAGCAGTAAGCAGGAGAAAAGGCACACCTCCGAATTCAGCATGTCGGACTTTGAGGACTCCTCGGATTCCCCTTCTCCCTGTTCCTCGTCCTGAGAGCGGCGAATGAGTTGCCGGAGCAAGCGGGAGGAGGAGGGGGCTCTGTTGAAAGGACTTTTCGTCCTGTGTCCCATGGAAAAAACAGACTGAGGCGTTTTTTCTGAGCTCAACACTGTCGATGGGCCTCCAGCTGCTAAAACGCCCAAGCGTCTCCGGAGGGAGGGCATTCTCGATCCCCAGGGATCTTTCCAGGGGCCCGCCATGTTGTTTAATTTGGTTGCCTACGAGACTGGCGCCCGGCGGAGGCGCCGCAGGGGATTCTGGGAGCTGTAGTCCCCAGTCCATCGCAAGGGTTTCTTTGGCGCTCGACTTTCTTTTATTTTGTCTCTTTTCGTTAATTTTCTCTCTTTAGTCCGTCCATTCGCTAGCTTTGCTTCGTTTTGCTTGTCTTTCTCATTTCCACCTCTATTCTCTACCTCCTGTCTTCAGCTGTCTTTCTTCCAACCTCGAGATGCCCCCCTTAGAGCTTTTTGAGCCCACCCTAGATTACAGGTGCGCCTCCTGTCCCACTTGGATCACAAGGTTTCTTTCTCAGACTCGTACTTTGAAAGGGTGTGAAGTCCCTAATGCTGTCTGTAGGAAAGCCAGTAACACTGAAACGTTACCATGCAGAGCTCGGTAAGAGGAGCTGAGGGTGTGCATGACTTGTCCTTATGGCTTAATTGTGGATAATAAAGAGAAACTACCAGACGACTTCTGAGAGCTAATTTGCAGTTAATTTACATACACACACACACACACACACACACAATGATAAGCCCTGTCCTTGGGGAGAAAACCCTGCAGGGGATCCAGAAAGAGAGGAAAAATGGCTGTCAAATTGACACTGTATCTGAGAGCCCCTGAAAAGCTATTAGCATCCCATAAATAATTGTATTAGTCAAGTGACCTGCATTGGTAATTATTTTAATCTTGCTGCATACGTTCTTTTTGCAGTTTTAGAAAATAATTGCGGGAATATAAAGCATGCTTTTATGCTAGTGTGATTTTTGTGACCCAAATCCCATAGCCTTAAGCTCCGCAAAGTAGACACTCCATAGAAAAGCGGAATGAAAATTATAGTAACCATTACTGCCCTAGTGATGACAATAAAGATCCTTGCAGGGAAGTCGCCCTCATCCTCTTGGCCTTACAGGGCCTTTTCTCCACGCTTCAGTGACAGCAGTTGCAAATACAAAATGATCCTGTCAATGGCTGTCAGGGGAAAAGGAGAAAAAATCCTTATGGACACCATCCATTGACTATTATCTTTCTCAGTGCTTGAGGGACCGTTAAAACTGACATAAAGCTTTCAGAATTACCTTCCTTCATTATCTTACTAGTCATAAATGTAAAGGCTGCACTGAAAGTATGTCTTTCTCTAGGCTCATCTTGCTTCTTTCCAGTAGGCAGATTCCTCCAAAGGATTAATCCCCACAGTCACCCCCAAAAGGCCTGGCTCCCAATAACTGCAATAGGAAAGAACTGATTAGAAAGTATAAAATGCAACCTAGTGCATGTGCGTACAATTTGTGTGTGCATGTGTGTTTTAAATGACTTAATCAGCATTCTAGCAAAGCGAGCCTTGCCAGTGTCAATCCATTGAGAAAAGTGTCCTAAAGCAGAGTTAGGACTTGTCAAAGAATAATTTCAAGAAGCTAAAAAAATTCTCAAAACCAAGAAAAAGATTCATGAAAGATTCTGTTCAACACATTAATTAATAAAGGAATGAGTAAAATGGTACCAAGGTATTCAGAATCCATGAGGAAAGATATTCAGAAATAGGTTTGCCACTGGGTGTGGTAGTGCAGGTCTGTAATCCCAGCACTCAGGAGGCTGAAGCAGGAGTTCTGTTGTGAATTCGAGGCCTGTGCTACATAAGTGACTTCAAGGCCAGACAGCACTACATAGTGAGACCCTGTCGGGAAAAAAAAAAAGGTTTACCAAGTTAGACACAAAACTGGTTAACGCTCTACAAGATGATAAATCTTAGTCTTTTGGGTTATATATGTATTTCTAAGTATTTGGCTTCTTTTTATCTTCACATCTACCTCTGTCCTCACTTGACAGGTAAGACTCAGGGAAGTTAAATAACTGTGCAAAAGTCATGTGGTAGTGCATAAATCCAAGCCTAAAATGACCAATACCTTACTCTACCTTCAACGACCACTATTTCAGGTAAAAAAAAAAAAAAAAAAATGTGAGGCAGGATAAAGCTACACAACAAGAGATCTCAGAAGGAAAAACATGTCAATCTGGGATTTTAAGAATTAATATAAACTGGGTGTGGTGGCACGTGCCTGTAATCCTAACACCCTGGAGGCTGATGCAGGAAGGTGGAAAGTTAAAGCCAGCCTGGGCAATTTAGTGATTTAGAGAGATCCTGTCTCAAAATAAAATAAAAAGGGGCTGTAGCTCACTGTGAAGGAAAAAAATTACTCAGAAAAAAGAAAAAAAATTACTCAGAAAATTGTTTCATAAAGAATCAAAGCATGTCAAAATCGGAATCTGGAAACCCACATTTAAACAAACTCTGCCTTTTACAGAGTAGGTGACACTCAGGATCAATGATTTGCCCAAAACTGCCTAACTTGTTAGCAGGAGAGTAGGATTTGAGTCCAAACTGCTTGTTGCTCAGTCTTTGCTCTTCCTAGTTTACCTTAGGCTCCCTAAGTTGGAATTTTACTACTAAAACCCTTGCTTTGGGATTCTAGACATCAAAACAGAAGACACTGTCTTTATAAAACAATTTATTTTTCAGAGAGAGAAGAAAAAGAAAGAAAAAGGAGGTGAGAAAAAAAGAATTTTGTTTAAACACTTCCCATCAGTATAAAACATGCATAATCACTTCCGTTTGTTCATTGATCACTGTAAACAAGGCCTGTGCTACATAAACCCAGGGCCCTGTACATCTAGGGCCTTCACAGTGAACTACTTTATTTTGAGATGGGATTTTTCTAAGTCATTCCATTACCCAGGCTGGCTTCAACTTACAGTCCTCCGGCCTCAGCTTCTCAAAGTGCTAGGATTACAGGTCTGTGCTATGTGCTCTACTTTCTCTAAACACAGAAGTAGTTTCTCAAGAATTTCTTGTAGCAACAGATCCCAGATTAGTGGAGTGGGATGCACCAAGGCAATGAGTTAGGGTCACCCAGCAGCAGGATCTCCTGTGATAGCCCTGTGTCCTTTTCATCTTGGGTGTGAGGAAGGTGAGAGTGGCACATGATGCTTAAGAGAGACTGTCTTGAGGGGAAATCAAGGACAGGAAGTCCTTCAGGGAGAACGGAGGAAATAAAGAGCTTCAATTAGAAAGAGGTTGCTAAATACCAGTTTTAGCTACTTTGTAGATTTTCCTTGCGGCTATTAACTCTTTCCTTTAACTATTTTTTTCTTTTTTTCTTTCTTTTGTTTTCTTCAGTTTGCTCCATACTACCTCAAGGAACCAGAGGAACAACTCGCTGAAGTACATGAATTTCACGTTTTTAAACTCACTGATACTTTGGCATGTGTTAGACCTGGTACAAACTTCTATCTCACCGTGAGCCACTTTCAACATTCTATCAGGCTACGTTCCTTTGGATAGTGTCACGTTTTGTGAAACTAGCAATACTGTATTTTTTTAAAAAAATCAAGTCCTGCAAAAGGTAATGTGGAACAGGAAATGAAGGTGGGAGTTTTCAAAGCGAGTCCAAGGTTTGTCTCCCCACTGAATTTTCTGTGTGCAGCTGTGATCTTTCCCCATCTGGACCTAGCACCGTGGTGTAAATCCTTTCCTGGGTGAGAATGGAAAGAAAATGCAAGATGAGCTCCTGTTGTCTAAATCAGTAAAGAGTATCTGTGGCCCTGGGGCAAGGGAAAGAATGTACCTCCCTCCTTCGTGTTCCTGCACCCTCTCCCCATTGTTCTGCAAGGAAAGAACAGTGCTTCCTCAGGTACTATGAGCTGAGAGCACCTTGAGCTCATGGTTTGGTTTTATTTATAAAACACTACAGTTTTTACAGAGCACTATCGAATGGGGAAGGAAGATGGGCAATAGAAGGTATCACTGATACAATAATAACAACAGCTAAGATATAACCATGCTAATGTTTATAGGTGATTACTATGTGCCAGGCAAGGTTCCAAGTGTTTTCTGTACATTAACTCATTTGATCCATATGAGCATATGCAAGGTCAAGGTTCATATTTCCATACTATAGATGAGCAAAGATAAATGTACAGAGGTTATGTAATCCACTCAATCCACCTTCAGACAGTAGCAAACCCAGGACTCAAAAGGACAGTCTGGTTTCCCAGCCTAAATCCTTAATCAAAATGCTGTATTTCTTTCTGCTTTAGTAAAACTTTGTGGAGGAGAACCTTAACTTTGTGATAATTTGATGCATTAAATTATCTTTTTATGTTTTCTTATCTCTTTCTTTTTTTAAATTTATTTTAAAAATAAAAGAAGGAAAACATATTAACAAGCAGACCTCCATTTACAAAATAGCATAAGAATAATACAAACAATACAGAGTTACAGACAAAATGGTGGAAAATTAACAATGGTTGTTGTGTTATGTATTGATATCTTCAAAGTGGTTTCTCAGGAAAACAAATAAAGACATGCAAGATTGATCAAATAA